ATAATTTAACCTAAAGTGTTTTTTTATGTTTTTTTCTTTAAAAAATTGGTAAAAAATGATAAATTTTTGTTTGCAACTAAAGTTGGCAACTGTACAATTTACTATAAAAGTGTTAGTTGTCCTTTTTTATAAAAAAAGGAAGAAAATATTGAAATTTTAATTTTTTTTGTTGGCAACTTAAATTGGCACCTGGATAGCACTGAAACCTAACCTAAATAAACCAAAATTTAGTGCGTGACACAAACTCTTGTGAAAGCTATGGATTTATCCGTAATGCTTGTCCGAGTGGCAGTTTACAGACCCACCTCTGAGTCCCACCTCCGAGAGTGACACCCAGAGATACAAATTATCCTAGTTTGAGCCCGCGAGCATAAACAAGGCCCCTCTGCACACGCACAAGATGACATATTAGTTGTATCAGTATTAGCCGCAGGTGGCCGTGCGGGAGCCTAAGCCTTGACTAATCCGCCAAAAGTGAATGCTCCCGCCTGGCCACGCCACCCCCGCCGCCTCCCACGGGACGCTTAATCCGATAAACACGCTGATGGACGTGTCACAATGCGCAAAAGTGCACAGAAAAAAAAACAAAAAAAAAAATTTTCAATTCTTGGGAAAGTTATCGATAACAGCGGTCTAAACATTGATCCGGGGAACATAATAGGCACTGTTTGCGTGTAATGGGATTTGACGAACGTCGATACCACCGCCGCAGCGAAATTAATTGCTGATTACGAGATAATTAATATAGGAAATCAACAAATTGGATTCCGTTCATTCACTTCAACCCCACGCGAGCGCTCGTTAAACTTTAATCTCATTAGAACTCACTACCAACCGCCGAAAAGTGAAATGACAATCCCGGGCGCGCGCAAATTGAATCGTTTAAATCACGCTCGTGCTCATCATCATCATCGTTGCATTGGACTCAGCTGTCGGACAGTGTCATAGTGGAGGGCCGCGGATGTTCCGAATGTAAATTTCGCGCTATTCGTCAGCCATGATGGATTTTACGATGGAGAAACATTTGCGGTGGGTTGGAATTTTATTGCCTGCGTTTAAATGTTATTAATTGCATAATTAATTAACAGGCGTCTTTGTCAGCGATGGTTTAATTACATTTTATTATGGAAATTATCAAAATTTAACCAAAATTAAATTAAATTTTAGTGTTTTCCATTAAAATCTAACAGGAAAAACGAAAATTTTGTTTTTATTTTATTTATTTCGAGAGATATTGATGATTTAACCTAAAAAAATAACTATTTGGGGAAATAATTGACAGTTTTGACTTTGTTTTTGAAGGTTTTTATTAAATTTTACTACGGAAAATGTAAAAATTTATCAAAATTAAATTGTTTCTTTAGTGTTTTATCAAAACTATCAAAAAAATAATTTTATTTTGTTTATTTTAAGAGATATTGATGATTTAACCTCAAAAAACAGCTATTTCTTTATATTTGACTGTTTTAATTAAATTTTTCAACTAAAATTAACAAAATTTACTCAAATCAAATAGTTTCTTTATTATTTTATCTAAAACCACAAAAAATTTGTTTTTATCTTGTTTATTTTGAGAGGTATTGATGATTTAACATCAAAAAATAACTATTTAGGGAAATAATTGACAGTTTTCTTTGTTTTTGAAGGTTTTTATTAAATTTTACTACGGAAATTGTAAAAATTCACCAAAATTAAATTGTTTTTTTATTGTTTTATCAAAAATAACAAAAAATTGATATTATTTTATTTATTTTAAGAGATATTCATGATTTAACCTCAAAAAACAACTATTTCTTTATATTTGCCAGTTTTAATTAAATTTTAAAACAAAAATTGATCAAACATATCAAAATTAAATTGTTTTTATTTTATTCTAACTAAAACAGCAAAAATTTCATTTTTATCTTGTTTATTTTAAGAGTTATTAATGATTTAACTTCTAAAACCAACTAACGCCACCTATACGTGTCTCTTCAAAGTTCTAAAACTGTGTAACCTATAACCGCCGCCATGTTGACCCGTATCATGTTTTTCTCTCGCTGTTAAGTGCGACACCCTCGCATTATTATTTTGCGCCCTTAAGTGTGACGTTGTGAAGTTCCATCAAAGTGACACGAGTAAAAAATTGCGCGCTGTGAGAATGTGCGAGTGTACGCGAGTGGTTTCATCTTTACACCCTCGTTCGCAATTCGCACGATGACACGGGCACTCGTATCGCAGCAAAGCAAAACAAAAACAAAAAACACCAGCAAGCAAGCAAGCACGAGAAAAAAATGCAATTAAAACAGTGCATTAAGTGATGCTTCCGGAAACACCCTCAACGCTCAAATGTGCGATAATTAAACTTTTTTTTTATTCTAAAAAAGTTAAAAGTTTATAATATAAATTTAACGCAACTAAAGTTGATGATTTTATTTTTTTGAAGTTCCGGGAGTTGAATGTGACTAATACCCAGATGAAATTTGTTAGTTTTCGGGGGAAAAAGGGTTAACGCAGACACCGCTGTCACTGTCAGTGTTATCCTTGCGGTTCGGGACGACTAACGAACGAGTTGTTTATAATTAAATGCACAATAACTCATAGCAATAGAAGCGAGCCGAAACTCTGCGTGCGGGTCAAGTTAGTGACGTGCTGGGGTCGTTCGCAATTTATTTCTCTCCTTTCGCGCCCGAAAAGGACGAGAGGTGGATGAAGGTGGCGCTGCGGTCGCCTCGATGTCATTACATGAAGATATTAGACAGGCATGTCGACGCACGTAGTTAATATTAACATATTAAAGGATACATACCGCTTAAACGACCTTGAAATGCCATTTTAATATAAACTAAGTCTTAAAAATATATACAGGGTGTTTTATGGTGTTAGTTCATTAAATGTGCATTGGACTTTATTCAATTAGCAATGATTTATCCCCGGCTTGTAATTTAAATTGCGTAAAAGCAATAAAAACAGCTACTGAAATTTAATTTAATGAATTTTGTGATTAATCTACTAAAACCTGTGACTAAAATCCGTGAATAAAGTACTTTAGTCACGACCGTGCTGAAAGTACCACTTTTTGTGTTAAAAAACCGTGAAAATAGACAAAAATAATTTAAAATTGCCAAAAAAAGGCGCACAGGACGCAGCCGTTACGGAATTGCGAGAGGGTTTTTTTCATCTTCCGGTTTCTGGTGCGTAGCTGTTGCCTAATTTTTTTTAAACGTGAAAGTAATTGTATTGTCATTATTGAAATAATGATTTTGTGATCAATCTACTAAAACCCGTGACTAAAACCCATGAATAAAGTACTTTAGTCACGGCCGTGTATAAAATACCACTTTTTGTGTTGAATAAACGACCTTGAAATGTCATTTTAATATAAAATATGCCTTAAAATGATATACAGGGTGTTTTATGGTGTTAGTTCATTAAATGTGCATTGGACTTTATTCAATTAGCAATGATTTATCCCCGGCTTGTAATTTAAATTGTGAAAAAGCAATAAAAACAGCAACTGACGCCGCCCCCGTTGCCACCCCCTGGTTAATTTGTATAAAACGAATAAGACGATGGTGGATGCCGTGGAAACCGGTTGAAGTTGGAAGAAAATTGGCCTTTTAATCAAGGCGACCCGAATTTGAATACGTTTACATTAACCACACCACTGGAGGCGGCGGTGGTTGGACAACGCGCCCTGCATTTAAATATCGCACAGGCTGAGAGTATTATTAATTAGTCCATCGATGTTTCACGTTTGATATTCGTAATTAAGTTAATATTAGTATTGAAAAATGCAATATTGGTTGCCTATATTAAAAATCTACTCAAATTTTGTTTTCAATTTATATTTACTATTCACTGGTATATTTCCACTTGATTAATTAAATTTAATTATGTAAACGTAACAGATATGTGTATGAATAATATTTATATGCGCATTCAATATTGGTTGCCTATATTATATTTTTAATTTCGCAGACAAAGCGTTGGATAATACGACTTTTAAAATGGTTCATTATCGCCGATCGTTTATCCCTTAATAATCAGCTGAACGAGGGGTTTAATTAAAAAAAAGCGAACGCGGGTCAAACTTTCATGAGCGCACGCCGTTCGGATTTAATTACGGCCGGTAAAAGTTTGTGTTAAATGTTCATTATGAGTGAAAATACGGAGAAATTACGAGAGATTTTCGCCACCGAATTTCATAACGATATAATAAAATCTAAATATATTTAATTTTATATTGGTGAGTGTGAGTTTAGTATGTTATTAAATCTAATTGCATTTCTAAGTGCGAACATGTGACACACGGATTCTCGAATGTTTTAATTCGAAACACACGTCGCACCCACGCATTCCGAGTTATTTTGTTCCACGCACGCCGTTTTGTCAGAGATTACATTGTGAAGCTGGCGCGGCGCGTGTATTAATGGCGGTTTGTTGGCGAGTTTATTTTCGGTGACGAAAAAGAAAAATTTTTATAAATAGAAAACATTAGGTATTATATAATAAAAAATGAATATTTTTATATTTCCACAAAGTTTTCTAAGGTTTAGAAACACACAAAGTTGTATTTTAAACACGGACGGGCAAAATTGTGAGTAAAATACTTTAGTCACGGGTTTTAGTCACGGGATGGAGCTTACGCATGCGCAAATCAGTAGAAATAGAAAAATTACGTAAGCAACACGTGGCTAAACCTTATTAAACACTCGATTGATTAAACGTTTGCTACGCTCGTGACTAAAACTCCCATTATCCCACTTGATATTTAATATCCTATTGTAATTAAAATTTTCCCGATGCACTTAATCCACACCCCTTTTTTAGTACTGATAATTTACTACAACCCAACATATTTAGAAAATATTTTGATCGCCCCTTTCATAACTTCCTAAAAGGGTTGTAAAAGGGTGTAGTCATAGTACAGCAAGAGTGTAATTGTCGACGGGGTGTGTGCAATTAAAATTTCACTAATTACACACTTAAAAAGTAGAAATCATTCGGTATGTACTCACTTAGAAACAGCGCCTTCGTAGGGGTTGTGTTATGTCCTTGTAACACGTGATATCGCAACACATATTTAATTAAAATACAAATTTTATTAATTCGGTTTGTGTTGAATATGAAATTAGCAAGAGTTTTGTTCGTTTTGTACGTTTTGTAGCACTGGTCAAACGAGTTTTATATCGTGTTTTAGTCTGTTATCACGCGCGGTGTTTGTTGTTTTCTCGCGTGTTTTGAACTAGGTGTGGAATACGCGGCCGACTCGTCGACACAAGCGCCGGCAACGGACTGACGCCGCTGGTCGAACGCAACCGAAGTGTAGAGTGTAGAACGGTAGAGTTTGCGCCGAAGCCGAAGTTGGTGTTCACTTGCTGCCCCCGCTACGCGCGCCACACCGCACACCCTATACACAAGACGCCGGTCGACAGACTTCTTGCTAAAAGGAAAACAAAACAGGCTAAAGTTGCCAGAGTTGCCAAAAAAGGCGCACAGGACGCAGCCGTTACGGAATTGCGAGAGGGGTTTTTTCTTCTTCCGGTTTCCGGTGCGTAGATGCTGCCTAATTTTTTTTAAACGCGAAAGTAATTTATAGTTCATTTTAGTACTGATGAAATTAATTTTAATGAAATTTGTGATCAATCTACTAAACCCGTGACTAAACCCGTGAATAAAGTACTTTAGTCACGACCGTGCTTAAAGTACCACTTTTTGTGTTGAAAAACCGTGAAAATAGACAAAAATAAGTTAAAATTGCCAAAACAGGCGCACAGGACGCAGCCGTTACGGAATTGCGAGAGGGTTTTTTTCCTTCTTCCGGTTTCATGTGCGTAGATGTTGCCTAATTTTTATTAAACGCGAAAGTAATTTATAGTTCATTTTAGTATGGCTGAAATTAATTTTAATGAATTTTGTGATTAATCTACTAAAACCCGTGACTAAAACTCGTGATTAAAGTACTTTAGTCACGACCGTGCATAAAATACCACTTTTTGTTTTGAAAAACAGTGAAAATAGACAAAAATAATTTAAAATTCATTTTAACACTGGTAAAATTTGATTTATTAATTTTGTTTTCAATCATCGAATGTAAATGATTAATTTTCGACATTATTTCCATTTCCATAATTAGATTTAATTATGATAAAGCATGAATAATATTTAAAATCAAAATTTGTGTTGGAAATATGTGTAATATCAGTTTTAAGTGATGACAAAACATAATGCGTTGCCTGAAGCGACGACATTCATCTTAACCGCAAGGGGTGGCGGTCGTAACTTGCAACTACCGCCACCGCCGTTGCTGCTGCCGCCACCGCCGCTGTTGCAGCATGAATGTGGCGGAGATACCAGGAAGGAAAGTTATTTTTTCGCGTTGTTCGCAAAAGTTCACGGTGTGAAATTACTTTTGCAAGAAACGACTGATACCTATCTTGAAATGTGATGACGGAGGTTGCGCCTCGGAGGTGAAATACAAATCTAAACAAAGCCAACACAACCAGTTCGTATTCACTACTTGTTATCTGCAAGAGTAACAAAAATGTCGTATGAAATATAATTTTAATGAAGGAAAAATAAAAATTTATTTTTCTTTGGAAAATTTTTCAGAAAAAGTGAAATATCTAGAAGAGTTTTTAAGGTAGAATATTGGGAAAGATATTGAATCAAAGAGAATTTAATTACGCATCTTATACATTATTTATTATCACAGAAAAATTAGTAAATTTGAAGTAAAATATAATTTTAACAAAAAAAAAACTGAAATTTTTACTAAAATTTCAATAAAACTCGAATATCTTCGAAAGTTTTTATTGCAGAATATTAACAAACATATCAAATTGTAGATAATTTAATCATACATCTTATTTATGATTTGTTATCACTAAAAAACTATAAAATATGACATAAAATGTAATTTTAAAAGAAAAAACATGATTTTTTTACTTAATTTTCAATAAAACTCGAATATCTTCAAAAGTTTTTAATATAAAATATTAAAAAATATACCAAATCATAGATATTTTAATTCCACATTTTATACATAGTTTATTATTTCTGAAAAAAAGTATAAAAAATGACATAAAATATTATTTTAACAGAAAAAATAGAATTTTTTTACTTAATTTTCAATAAAACTCGCATATCTTCAAAAGTTTTTATTGTAAAATATAAACAAATATATCAAATCATAGATAATTTAATTCCACATCTTATACAATGTTTGTTATAACTAAAAAAACTATAAAATATGACATAAAATATTATTTTAACACAAAAAATATGATTTTTTTACTTAATTTTCAATAAAACTCGAATATCTTCGAAAATTTTTATTGTAAAATACAAACAAATATATCAAATCATAGATAATTTAATTCCCTACCTAATTTATTATCAATTATCAACAAAAACAAAATATATATTGCAAAAATCTTAAATTTAAACAAAAAAATAAATTTTTTCACAATTTTTACTTAAAACCACTTTTTTACATTTTTCTTTCCCTTTTGGCAAAGAAATGTAGTTGTAAATAATAGTATACTATAAACCAAAGATGTGGAATGCAAAACGTGGTCGTACCGGTGTTAAGAAGCGCCGTGGAAAATTATGAGACGCGCATATTATGCAGTTGTACACGAATGTATATATCTAGGTATCACTGGAGCCACTGCAGCTTCTGTTTCAGTTCCAGTCGGAATCCCGAAGCAATGTCGTTGGTTTTTACTTTTTATAGCACGCGTACCGGCGCAGCACTTGCGCTTCCATGATTTCCAGCATTTCCAACCGCACGCCGACTTCATTTCACTTGGTAATAATAGATCATATATTTCATCCCATCCTAGCTTTACCCTGCGCCGTGAATAAAGATTACATCGCAGTCATTGTATTTCCATCATCTACCTGTACTCATACAACCAAAAATAAATTAATATTTTTTTACCTGAAAATTTTTTATTTTTACGAGTTAAAAACTTGTAACGCATCTCACGTCGCTGGAGTTTTTTCACGCGCGAGTCACGCATTGTTGTTTTATTCCTATTCGGTGTTGTTTATTGTGTGTCGCGCAACAAACTTGCCACGAACGAGTTTCCGGCTGTTGTTATCGCCTGTCTGTCGCTCTCTCGGCGAACGCGAAACAAATTAAGTGATCAACGCTCGTAAAAACTCGTAAAAAACGGAAATAAATTTTTAACTACTTTTCTCTACTTTCTTCTCATAAATTTTGCAATTTATGAAGACGTAGACAATGATCTCGTGACAAATAAGCAAAAATTTACAAAAAAATTTAATTTAATTCGTTGGATTTTATTGCTGTACATCCGTCTTTTGTATGTTGGATGAAATGAAGTTGAAGCACACAACGTGATGTAAATATTAATTTTGTTTTATTTCGGCGGGATAGTGGAGTCTTTTGTCTCTACGTGTGCCGCCGGTGGCTCTATTTAGCGGCGGTGCACATGCACGGCACGCATTAGCGCCCGCCAGACGCCAGACAGACTCTTCTTGTTTCATAAGTCAAAACAATGTGGCACAGTGTATGAAATGCATATTTATCTTGACTGTATTTATACAAGTTAATATTGAGGTGCAGTCAAAGGAGACGTGAATATGTTAAGCGGAAATAACTATAGGCAACCAATATTACATTATACTATGCTTTGACATCACGTATTTGCAGTAAATTGCAATTAAAACTATTTTTTACAGTTAAATGAAATATGAATGTGTTTAATGACTATAGGCAACCAATATTACATTCTACTATGCTTTGACATCACGTATTAGCAGTAAATTGCTATTAAAACCTATTTTTTGCAATTAAATGAAATGTGGATTTGTTAAATGACTATAGGCAACCAGTCTTACATTTTACTATGCTATGACATTACGTATTTGCAGTAAATTGCTATTAAAACTATTTTTTTACAGTTAAAGGAGATGTGAGTTTGTTTAACGACTATAGGCAACCAATAATACATTTTACTATGCATTGACATCACGTATTTGCAGTAAATTGGTATTAAAACTCATTTTTACAGGTAAATGAAATATGAATGTGTTAAATGACTATAGGCAACCAATATTACATTTTACTATGCTTTGACATCGCGTATTAGCAGTAAATTGCTATAAAAACTCATTTCTTGCAGTTAAATGAAATATGAATGTGTTAAACGACTATAGGCAACCAATATTACATTTTACTATACATTTTTATCATGATTTTGCCGTAAATTGCAATTAAAACTAATTTTTTACAATAGAATAAGACGAGAAATATTTAAAAGACTATAGGCAACCAATATTTCAGTTTTCTATACTTTGATATTACATTTATGTAGTAAATTAACTTTTTAATAGTTATAATTAAATCAGTTTGAAATTCAAAGCTTGTGAATAGGCAATTATAGCAAAATTGATTTTTTTCGCGCTGTAAGTCAAAGCTTTTAATTGAAATCCTTCATCCCTTCGCCCATTCAAGTTTCAATTGCGAATTGCGCAAAATTATCATTCCGTGAGCGGAAAATCGGCGTATATCTCGAAGAAAAACGACCGCGGCTGTCTTTCGCGCTGCTTTCTGCTTGCTTTAGCCGTGTTAGCCGCTCTTTACCTTTGAAGCGAGTAGGCACTACTAGTGGCGCTCGAGCGGTCGCTCTAGTTTCGAGCTTAAATGCTTATCCGCTATTTTCGTTATTACAGTTGATAAAATTTTATTAAATTGTTCATGCACGAAAATGTTTGCCAAGACGCAACCAAACTACGGCGTGTACTTGGTTGCGCTGCCGGCATTCGGAGAAATATGCGCGCAAAATGAATAACTTCTTTCTTTTCATCATCAAAGTTATGGGCGGCGAAAAGTTGGAGGTTTACGAGTGCTATTTGGGATTAACCATGTGCAAAATGTTTTAATCTGCAGGGAAATTGCAAAAATTAAGGGTTTTTGGTGAAATTTTTGCAAAATAATTAGAAAAATTAGAAAATTTTCAATAAAACTCGAATATCTTCGAAAATTTAAATTGTAAAATATAAAAAATATACCAAATTGTAGATAATTTAAATACGTATCTTATATATTACTTTTTATCTCGGAAATTCTATCAAATGTGATATAAAATATAATTTTACAAGAAAAAACTGAAAATTTTTAACTTAATTTTTATTAAAACTCAAATATCTTTGAAAGTTTTTACTGTAAAATATTAACAAATATATCAAATGATAGATAATTTAATTTCACATCGTATGCATAGCTTGTTATAACTGAAAAAATTTTAAAATATAACGTAAAATATTATTTTTACCAAAA